CATATATATATATATATATATATATATATATATATATATATATATATATATACACACACATACACACATACAATGTTCATTAAAGACAACTGAAAAGTTACTGCAATTAAGCTTTTTATTCAATTTTTCTTGTATTTGTACAAATGTTTTCTTTTCTGGACACAAAGTGTGTAAAATTCCTATAATTTGAGATACATACAGGTGCAAAAATGAAAATAAAACTAACATCTCTTTTTAACCAATATATTTACCAAAATTACACAAAATTTGTTTATAATTCTGAGGTGAGGTGTTATGTACACTATTTACATTATTCGGACTATTGTCCTCATCTTTGTTGCCATATTTATCACAAGGACACATGGTACAGTGGATAAAGCCATTAGTTAGATCCAGTGACAGGACCCAAAGAGTGTGAGTTTAATACCCGGTTAAGGCGGTGAAGAACTTGGAGAGGGGAATTAACAGGGGGATAACTGATAACTGACATCCATTAAACATAGCACGTAGAACTAGAACAGTCTACCCCAGTGAGCGAAATAAAGGGTTCAGTTCGACATTCCAACCACATGAAGAAGGCTGGAGTGTACAATGGCCGAAACGTTGTAATAAATATGGCAACAAGGATGAGAACAATAGTTTGAATAATGTAAATAGTGTACACAAAATTTATTCAATAAAATCACCATTGGCCCCAACCATGGCCTCCAGACAACTTTGGAATCTCCTGCATCTCTTCTTTACAGTCTCCTTGTTTTAGTTGCTGAAGGCTGCCATAATCCTTGCCTTCAGTTCATCTTTGGTGATTTTGCAGTGGAGGCTTGTTACAAGGTGTTTTTGTTGGTCTCTTGCTCAACTGCGCCCCATACATAATAATCAAGGAGGTTGCTGTCTGAGGAGTCAGGTGACCAGATATAAGGGATGATGTGTTGGCAGAAATTGTCTGACAGTCATGACTGGGTTCTCCTGCTTATCTGGCATGATACATTACAGTTCTGTTGCCAGATATAGGTTTTCCAGCTGCCACCCTCTTGACCCAGGGCAGCACTACCTCCACAAGACACTTCATTTAGACCTCTATGTTGAGTCTGAGGCCCTCACCAACCAATTCAAGAGTTTTTTTTTTCTTATTAGTATAATCAGAGTGACTTTCCTAAGCTGCAGTACCTTTGTAATCACCATTAGATTCCTCCAGCTCTGAATCCTCAGCACTGTCCTCAGATTGTCACCCAAATACTCTGAAATGTTCATATTGGAGCTTCCAGTGCAAATACTAAGCAGTACAGCATGCTCTTTCCAAATTTCTGGCAAACTGAATTGCATCATTGTTGTGGAGTGATTTTGCAGTGGAGGCTTGTATTTGTACTGTCGGTCCTAAAATAGGTTCGACGTACAAAACGTTAGGAACTTGATATAATAGGTATGACACAGAGTAATCTTGTGGTGGTCGCTGATACTTTCGTATTCGACTGTCGTCCAACATCAACTGATTAACTCGTTACTCTTACTACTCCTACTTATTATAGGTGGGAAAGTCTATTAACTATAGAATAGGTGTGTTCCACCATAACAATCATGCTCTTTTTCTCATAGTTGGTGCCCAACTGACTCTACTGTGCAGTCAACAAAATTAAAAATATCAAATGGTGTCAATTTACCCATCACACTCTGTACATAAAAATGAAACACACATTCAGTTAAAAATAAAAATCATCCTTGATAATGGCTAAAAGAATAACCAAGAGTGCTTGGATATTCAGTACTTTTTGACAGTTTTTATGCGCTTTGTGTCCAGAAAAGAAAACACAATAAAAATTAAACAAAAAGCTTAATCACAGTACCTTGTCAATCATCTTTAATGAAACCTGCTGCTGAAATACACACACACACACACATATACATACATACATATATATATATATATATATATATATATATGTGTGTGTGTGTGTGTGTGTGTGTGTGTGTGTATATATATATATATATATATATATATATATAGTCTTAGCTTTTTCCATTTATATTACTAGTTTTTTCCTAGTATCTTGATAATCATGTCCTTGCCACAATTGAGTCTCCAATCATGAAAATAACAAACCTTTCTTTTTGTCTCTTTTAAAAGGAAAAAAAAGAATTACAATCTGTTCTTTTTTAATGTCTATAAATTGATTACTCCTTGATGAATCCTCATCATCAGTCCTGATTTCATTTCTGATCCATAAGACACAAAATCTAAAAGAATTGGGCCAGATGATGAAGGACGCTGTTCAATTAAATAGGTAAATGAAAAAAATCTATCGTGTGATGCTTAACAATTATTCTCCTCTGTTTCACAGCAGACTGTGAGACTTAAGACACTTGATTGTACTTTGTAGATAGAAAGTGAAAGTAGCCTACTTTAGCATGTGATTGTCTGTAACTTTTTGCAGTCTTGCTTTCAACCAAAGTCAATTCTCCTTTTTTGCTTTGTCTGTAACTGCACAAGTACCTTTCCATAGAAATGTTACTTTCACTTTCACTTTGTCTCAAAGTCTGAATTCAAACATTTTTCTCAGAGTGCTGCTTTCACGTTTTGATAGTTGAGCAAACATACTTTTCACTTTTCCTTATCTGATTCAGCTGGTGATTCTTATAAGCTTGTGCTTTCTTTCACTGTTCTCTCACCACTTCACTTGTATGGTCTTTTACACTTTCTCTCTCTCTCTTGCTCTCTCCTCCCTTCTGTGGTCTTTTACCCTCTTTCTCTTTTTTCTCCATTTTTGTGCAGTCTTTTACTCTCTCTCTCTTCCTCCTATATTGCTTAATTTTGACTCCCTTTTCTCCTCCCTTGAGTAATTTTTTTACTCTCTCTACTTCTCTTCTCATGAACTTTTTACTTTCTCTCCTTCGCCCTTCTGTAGTCTTTTATTCTTTTTCTCTCTTTCCCTCCTTTGTGCAGGCTTTTACTCTCGCTCTCTCTACCTTCCTTGTTTTGTCTTTTACTCGCTCATATCCCCCTTCTGCAGTCTTTACAAAAATACTTCAGTATTCTTCTGTCTCTCTCACTGTTTGTCTCTTTCTCCTCACTGTGCAGTCTCTGTCTCTCTCTACACTTTTTGTACAGTTTCTCTCTCCTCTCTGCCTCTCTCTACAGATTGACTCCTTTACTCTTACCCCTCTCTGTATTGTCTGTCTCTCTCTCTATATATATATATATATATGTCTCCCTGAACTCTCTCTTTACAGTCTATCTCTCTCAGTATATTTTTTCTCTTTCTTTGTACTATCAGACTGTTTCTCTCTTTTTTTTCAGTATAGTTTTTCTTTCTCTCACCACCAAATCTTTTCAACTATTTAGTCAAATGTTATTATGCCTTAAATTTTGATCAGTACAAATGATGTTCTTGACTTGATTCACTAAGCACATTTCTAGTTTTTTTCTTTTTCTTCTTTTGCACAAAGTTTTCCCCGCTCAAGATTTTGCTTGTTGCATTTTTCATTTGTTTCTTGTCTGCCTAAATAGTTTCTTATTTGGCAAACAGGATTTCAACAAATTACATTTCAACTTTGCTTCCTCTGATCAAATCTCTATGCCTTTCTTCTGTTTAGTCTTTGATTTTGTTTGCTTATGAACTCATTCTGGCTTTAACCACCATGACAGCATGTTTAAAGACAGTATTAGTTCAGAGAAAAAAAAATAAACAAGAACTTGTAATCATTGTAAGCAAAAAATTATTTTTAACCAAAAGAAGAATTATAAAAATACAAAATAATTCTTAAACAATGAAATTAAGCAGATTGTTGTAAAATACTAGTTTGAGTCATAAACAATTTCTATTTTTGTTCATCAATTTAATTTTCCTAAAATAATTAAGTACAGTTATATTTTATTCAGTTATATATTCATCATTAAAGTGATTTGCCATCACTTATCAGGTAGCACTTCAGTATTATCAGTGAAATTTCACAATTTTTTATGAGAAAAAGTTTTCAACAAATTCTTGAATCTGGTTTTCCTGATTTTCCCCATCAAAGCAGCAACTGAAAAAGGTAATATTCAGTTGGCGCTAGGTTGGGTGAATATAACAGGTTGTGTAGAATTCCAAAATTCTTTCCTGTCATATTCTTCATAGATACCTACTTTTGTTGTTCTGATTTTCATTTTATGATTTTCTTTTAATCTACTCTGTACACTGCTACTGCCATTCAAAAACTAAGGTTTGTCGGTGTACACCAAATTTATTCTGAACTGTTACATATGATTTGTATTTAAGATGATGCATTCATTATTACACTTGATTGCCCAAAATGGAATTTACTTATACTTCAACTTAATATCTATTAATCTGTTATATGTTAGTATCCACTAAAGTAGGTTGGAGCGTATAATGGCCAAAACATGAATATGGCAACGAAGATGAGGAAAACAGTCCAAACAATGTAAATAGTGTAAATGATTACAATACCTTATCTCAGAAATATAGACAGATCCTGAAAAGGGCCAGAGCATACAACAGCCGAAAACATTGTGAATATGGCACTGAAGTTGAGGACAACAGTCTGAACAATGTAAATAGTGTAAATAATTACAATACCTCATCTCAGAAATATAGACAGATATCAACCGGAAAAAACATGGTAGAGAAATAGATTCTGCTATTGTATCATATGGGATTCATGCCCAGAAATACCAGTGGTCTGAATCAAATTTAATATCAATCTGTGACAACCCCAATTATGTAATGGTGTTCACCCTAAGAGATGCCAAAGGAAGTGATGTCACCTCAGAATGTCAAAAAACCTTGGAGCCTCAGGGATTGACCTAGAAGGTGCCCTCAAAGCCACAAAGTGCAGAATCAAGCCTTGAAGGATGTTAGATGATAAAAAAATAAAAATAAAAACAAGGAAGTGAAGACACACAACCAGAAGTTGTGTGTGTCCAAACACCCACCATACGAGGGGAGAGACAGAATTTCTCACATTCTTGTGAAAAGAAGATTCAAAGAAAGACTCAAAAACACATACCTTCAATTCTACCAGTTTTAATATAACAGAGACTAAATGAGTATATTATGCATGAAAAATTTAGTCACATTGTTACAAGATGTATATCAATCTGGATAACCTACAGGGAATTTTGAACTGAATTCTTTCTTTAATCTACAGGGTGGGTAGGGCATTCTTGTTACACTGCCTATGGACATCTGGTTTACTTATTATTTTTAATAGTGCTCAGTTATTGCACACCTGTTTACACTGAGACTAAGCACAGACTGACCAACCCAGGGATTGAATTCACTATAACTATGACATGTGGCCGAGTGGTTAGAATGTTTGCTTTCTGACCATGAGACCTGGGTTTGAATCTCACCATGGTCAATTTGTTAGCAAGGAGACTTCCTGATATTATCGGACCGGAGGGGTCAATCCCAGTGTATGGCATCTTTGGAAAGTGCCTGAAAATCATACCACAAGTTGACCAAGCCTTGTGAGTGAAATTGGGTAGACAGAACCCTTGGTGGTCATCGATAGCTGTTCTAGCACAAAGTCACATATCATCATGGCCGAGGACTTGAGTATGCTGGTCTTATTCAAATTGTTGATCATGCTAGATAACACGCTCTTTCCCAGAAACTGTAACTAAGGTCTGCTCAGCATAGTTGCAGTATAAACCACAGGTGGGCTCTGTGGGTGTTGAATAAACACAAATGCGCCTGAGCAAGCGTCTGCAATAGGGATTGGATAGCTGTCCTAGTAGATGGATATCCTCGAATACGAGTGGCCAGCTATACCATACTGTGGTACCAAATTCATGAACCAATGCTTTATTTCAATCAGCTATTGTCCTGTAAGTTACCCAGTTCAATATATGCATGATGAAGGCTGGAGAGTGCAACAGCTGAAATGTTGTGAAGCAACAACAAAGATGAGGACATTAGTCCTAATATAAATGGTGTAAATAAGAGTTAAACAGTTACACAATGGCTGATGTTCATTTCTCTACCATTTTTTTAGCATTTAAACTCTAAAGAAACATTTCAGATTCTCCTAACATTGAATAATAGATGGTAATGTAAACTGGGTGTGGTCATAGAGTCACTACCTAACTGAGCACCTGACCAGTTCCTTCCTTCCATATAACCTGGTTAAAAACCAGACAAGTATTTATTCATATATATGCTGTACATGGTCTTTAGCAAGTAGACTTGGTGGAGTCCATCCCTTTCCAGTTTAAGCTGCAGCTGATATCCTCCAACTTGTCTTGGTTATGATCATGTGACCATTGAATCCATTGGGGAAACCCTCAGCCCTCGCCATTGAAACCCTCTTCTCAGCAATGCTGCATTATCACTATCAAGCCCAGTCTACTCCATTGTGCTAAATGACCATTTACCCTAAAAAAAAGCCCTACAAGACATTCTGCTGTGTTTTTAGCTACCCTTCTCACTATAAAAGCATGGTGGGGGAACAGGTTTAGTCACTTTAGACTAATCATTTTCTAACAATTGTAAATTATATACTACACTACTACTAGTTTAATTATGACATCAAAAATTGATAGTAATATTTCAGTAAATTTTATCTGAGATGAGGAGAGTTCGTTATATACATTTCGATTAAATCAGTGATTAAAAATGGCTTCAATGGAATGAAACCTGTAGGCCTTAGAGAGGACCATTTTTCTTTGAACCTTCTGAACTGTTGCTACAGAATCACAAACAAAAAAATGTACTGAATTGAAGAAACCACATCACTTGAAAAATTACAACAGCAGCAACAACTAAAATGAATAGCACATGTAGCTCAATATGAAAATAATGACAATCAAGATGTTTACATTCCACACTACTTGGAACAAAAGGTTAGGAAGGAAACACTCATCAATACTGGAAAGAGTGATAACAGCTACTGGGCTTGAGAAGAGAAAATAATGACATCATCAAAATGTTTACATTCCACACTACTTTGAATAGAAACTTATTGATTAGTTTTTTATGTTTATCAGCTCTTTGCAGGTTATTTAAAGCCAGAAAATATTTTTAGATTTTAAGAAATTTTTTTTAAAATAATAATGATAGTCTTACTAATTAACCCACAGCTGGGGGGAGAAGAGGTGGATTCATACATTTCCCAAGGGTATTTAGATATAAATGAATATAATGAACCTAACAGGAATTGGAACTTGGCTCTTTGATTAAAAATTCCAAGCCATTATCCATTATATGCACATCCAAGCTTACAGCACCTGGTATTCCCAAGCAGTCACCCATCTACATACTGACCAGGCTCAACATTGCTTACCTTCATTAATCATATGGGAACCAGTATTTCATGATGTGGCCATAAGCCCAGCAAAAAGTTTAGGAACTACTCAAGGCCATCAATACTGGAAAGGACTATAATATTTAGCTGACTTGAGAAAGCTCTTTTCCTGAAAAATTGTTTTAACAGAAAGATATTATAAATTTCAACCCAAAGTAACACTGGCTGTTTGGTCAATAAATTCCAAATGTTTCCTTATAAGGAAATGGCTAATATTATCCTCATCTTTGTTGTTATTATCACCAGTTATAGAAAATGTGAGGATATTAGTCTGAATCTAAATAATGTAAAATATCTGAATCATACGGAGTTAGCTTTAGTTGCCATAGACAATCAAGGCAAGGAGCCTCATTATAACTGCTCATTAGAAATGGAATAAATTTAGGGTCTTCTTGGTGGTGATGAAATGTTAATAGCTTTGTTTTTGAGATATTCAATGATACAAACCAGTCTTTCTTCCATTGATCTGCGAGAGCTAGATCAGTGGAGAGATCAGCTGCCAAGCACTTGTCATTGAGATTTTTGGAGTTGCACTCATAAACCATACATATACATTTACTAATAAGAATGTTCTTATGCCGATCATTAAAATAAAGCAGAAAACTGGTATAACCGAGAAGAGAGCCTTGGGGGTTACCAGCCTTGATTCCATGTGCTACTACTAGCCATTAACAATGATCTTCATGGACCTGTCTGATCAGAAAGATTTGATAATCAAGAAAACTCTTCCAGAGATTCCATAGCTGGGGAGCTTTTATAGCAACTTCCTATGAAACATGTTGTTAAAAGCCTTCCAGATATCTGAAGCAATCACTCTCATGGTGTGTTTATTATCAAGTACTTCACTGATTCTATGTGTAATGATAGTTAAGACATTAGCAGTGGACCTAGAGAAGTGAAAGCCATATTGTTTGTCACTCAAGAAGTTCTGTATTGAACTGATAAATAGCTTTCTTGATAGCCTTAAAAAAATTTGCTGATGGCCAAAGAGTGCGATATTGTGACAGGAATGAGCACTCAACTACATTCTTGTAAACAACGCATACAGCTGACACTTTCTGTAGGATTGGGAAACACTCTCTCTTCAGATAGAACCAAGGTTGTAGACAGACCTGGGTTAAGGTTCTTAAGAACAAGTATAACAATTTTATCTGGAGCATAAGGGATATCAGCAAAGCTATGAGATAGGGATATCAGCAAAGCATATGAGGTTGGGAGTCAGGTACACAATGGTCCTTATCATCTTATATGAAGTTAGAGGCAAATAGAGATTATGTGAATATGACAACTAGGATGTCTATACTAATTTTGTTACGTAATATCAGTCCTCCTGTATGACAGTGAATGCTGGACAATCCCAGATGAAGAGGGGTGACTTGAAACAGCAGAAATGTGGTTCTACAGAACAATTCTAAGGATACCATTGTCTGAACATGTGAGCAATGACAAAGTTTTAGAGAAAATGAAAACGAAGGAAAGCTATACATAATATTAAGAAGAGATAGTTGAAATTTCTTGGAAACATAAGAAAAGAGGGCTTAGAAAATCTGATACTCACAGGACAGATTGAAGACAAAGCATCAGTTACTTGTGTAAATGGATAGCAGAACAAGGTTTAGGAGAAATAACAAAAGGACAAAATTTATTAAGAGCTATAAAGGATAGAAAACTGTAGAAAGCCATGATTGCCTATGTCATGAAAGGACACGACACATAGAAAAAAAAGATACTAGTTAGAATGTAGCCGTAAATTTTGTGAACCAGGGAAAGTTACACTTTAAAAATCTTTTAAAGTGTAACTGAAATTGTTTTTGTTAAGCTGTACAATTAAAATGACTCAAATTATTTCCCATCATGCCTTAACAACTTCTGTATAGAATCTCTAACACTGACAACTGAAAAAGAAACAGTGGATAATTTAATAAGATAGATTTTCATTTTCCTAGTCTAAAAATCCAACACAAACATAAAAAAGATCTTCGTCATCACTGATGTTTTTGAGAAGCATAAAAAATCAAACGTCAATTTTAGCTGTCAATTTGGGGAGAATATAATTCTTTTGTTGACAAATGAATAAACCAATTTATTCCTTAATATAACATATTTTCAAAAGTTGTGCATACATGTGTGTGTGTGTGTGTGTGTATCTATCTCTCTCTCTCTCTCTATATATATATATATATATATATATATATATATGTGTATTTCTAAGATGAGGTATTGTAATTATTTACTTTATTTGGACAGTTGTCCTCATCTTTATTGCCATATTCATGACATTTCAGTTGTTGTATGCTCTAGCCTTCAGGGGATTAGAATTTTGAACTGAACCTTTTATTTCATCCACTGGTGTAGATTGATCTAGTTCCACTTGACATGCCTCTTTTGGATGTCTCAATTATCTCCTTTTAACTCAACTTCCCAAGTTTTTGTTCACTGCTGCAGTAGCCAGATATTGAATTCACAACTCGTTGGGTCAAGTCACTGAATCTGACCAACACTTTTATCTGCTGGGCCATGGAGAGTTGAGTTAAAGGGAAATAACACCCGGAAGAGGCATGGCACATGGAACTAGAACAATCTACTCAGGTGGATGAAATAAAGGGTTTAGTTCAAAATTCCAATCACCTGAAGAAGGGCGGAGTGTACAACAGCCAAAATGCCATGAATATGGCATAAAGGAAAGTAGGTTTCTTAAGTCCAGCAGCTTTTATCGATGTTTCCAGTAATGATGAGGGTTTTCTTTCTAAACTTCAATTTGTGGTGTGGGACATTAACATCTTGTACACTATTTATATTGCTCAGACTATCATCCTCATCTTTGGTATCATATTTATCAAACTTTTCGTCCGTTGTACGCTCTGGCTGTCTTTAGGTGATTGGAATGTCAAACTGAACCCTTTTGTTTCGCTTGCTGGGGTAGACAACAAAGATGAGGATGATAGACCGAGCAATGTAAATAGTGTGCATAATACCTCATCTCAGAAATATAGACAGATATTAACATCTTGATTATGCCATTATTTTCTTCTCAACATGTGCTATCTATTATACTTGTTGCTGCTGTTTGTAGTCCTCAATCAATTTTGTGGTTTCTGTTACAGACACAACTGTTATTTTCTTTAGTGTTTTATAATTTTTCCTATAAATATTCTGTTTCAATATTAATGAAAATCTTTGTTTCCTTTGTTCATTCTTATTCTGTTACCACAACTGATGATGGCAGCCCATCAATATTTTATTGCAGGAAAGTGTTGCCAAGTAATCTTAAAAAAGAAACAGAAAGAAATACATTCAAATGTGTTTTTTTTAAACAACTGGGATTATAATCTTAAATCCCTTATCTGATGATAAATAAGACCCCTTATTTATCCCCAAAAAATAGTTCTACAAATATTATATTTCGGTCTTTTGTACAAGGTTGAGACAGCTGGTTGGCTAATGTTTACCAGATGCTGTAAACAAGTACTTGTATCTCGCATAACTCTACAGTACCATGATATTAAATGTAAATAGTAGTACCATATATGTGAAGTTGACGTCTCTGGTAAGATGATGTTTAACCAGTTGTTGTAGATGACCAACTTTGTACCTTACCTAACTCTATAATACCGTATTATTAAATGTAAATGCAGGTGGGGATCTTATTTATCATCAAATATATATATATTGTTTTTTTTATATGTGCGGTATTTAGTGGAAAGTGCTCAATATCCATGCTAAAGCTAACACACACACACACACACACACACACATATATATATATATATATATATATATATATATATATATAATAGCTGGCCACTCATATTCAAGGATACCTGACTACAAGGAGGGCTAGCCAATGCTTATTGCAGATGCTCACTCAGGCACATTTGTGTTTGTTCAACACCCATGGAGCCAACCTGTGATCTGTACTGCAACTATGCAAAGTAGACCTGAGTTACAGTTTCTGGGAGAGAGCGTGTTATCTAGAATGATCAACAACCTTAACAACACCAACACACTCAAGCCCTCAGTCACAATGACTTGTGAATTTGTGCTAGCACAGCTACATATACACACACACATTTTTAAAGATGTATTTAAGTATTTACAAAACTTATATTGCCTGCTGCTGATATATATATATATATATACACACACACACACACACACACATTTTCAAGATGTTTGTATGTGTGTATATATATATATATATATATATATATATATATATATATATATATATAAGTAGACAGCCATAGTAGTGTTATACTCAAGATTTGTTAGATCATAATTAATACAAACAAAAAATATATAAAAGTGTGTACAGCTGGGCACAAATCATAAGACAAAATGTTTTAAATTTGCATTGTCTATTGAAAATTGCAGCTAAACTACTGCATTGTATAACATTACATCATAATATAGCTAAATTGTTCAGTATACTTTCCCTTTAAAGTAAATGAAGGTATTATTTGATGAGACAATGATTTAGTAATAATGTGTGTGTGTACCTTGCATCTTGTCCATATACAATTTATTAAACACCAGTAAATTATTAATTTTGTAAGGCTGTGTGCTATAAGGCTTTCACTAATCACCAAAATGAAATTCCAACACTATAATTTTGAACCAAAACATAATTTTGAAGTTGTTTCCTCAAAAAATGGTAACAATTTGATAAAAAATATTGTGTGTTGTTAATTATCATGTGAAACACCAAATTTCAAATTGAGTCGAATACCACAGTTTAAAAATCAACATGCCCAGGGAGATGAACTTGATAATTTGCAATAATATATATATGTCTAATATATGTTACATTATCTATGTTGTATATAGTGCATATATTTGCATTTTTCACAGCAGTATTTTACAAGTTATAAACATTCTTTACTCATACTATATACATTAAAAGCACAATGCTTTGTAAACATATACGTGAAATTTAAAAAGAAAAAAAATTACACCAAAAATATCATGGAAAACAGCCTCAGATTGCAACAATATATATATATATATATATATATATATA